CTTACAGCTTATTTTTCATCAGCAGATTCAACATGTCAGCATACTTTCAAGATAACAAATTGATTTCTGAACCAGTATTAATCAATATCATTAATTCTTGTTGATTTATAGTGACTGGCACATATAACAAACACATTCTATATGCTGTTTTAGATTTTAGTACCATGGGCTTCAATGTAAGTCAACCAGAATTGATCTTTAGCTCAGGCTGAACTGGTTCAGAGACTTCAATCTTTGTATAGCTTTTGCTAGTACTGTTATTCCAACCTGATTCAAAGGACACTCAATAAAGCTTCAGCAATACATCTATAAGCTTCTTGACTGACACTTCAACCTTCTCATTGAGAATTCAACCCATTAATTTATTGGCATTTGTTGAATTACAGATCTGAAAGAATAAACAATCTGTTGCAGAATATCTTGATCTTTATTTCTCTATAGTCTTGTTCTGAATTTCAGGCTTCTTCTGATTAATCAGTTCAATATCTTTCATGATATTATCATTAAGACTAGCTTGATTATTCCAGTAGATAATAAATTGTCCAGTATACTGAGTATGAGGTGTTGTAATTCTAGCTTTTTAACTATTCTTAGCTTTTCTAACAGTTTCAACATTGACTGATGTTCTTTCTTTCAGAGGTTCATATTTCTTATCTGAATCAGATTCTCTATCAGACATTAGATATGCAAGTTGTCCTGCTTGAATCTTCACACTGGTTGAATTTGCTAAAGATATCTCTTCTTGCTGATTGATCTTCTTTTTAAGGCTTGTCAACTTCAGAATCACTCATTCATTCTCTTTCATAGACTGTATAATATACATGTTTGATATTCCAGGTTTAGGAGTGACAACTTGATAGTTTTGACCAGAAGAATCCATGCATAAGTTTTCTTTGTCATTAATATGACAGAACCTGTTATTTGCATCAGATTGGTATTCATAACACTGAGATTGACAGTGTCCAGGTTTTCCACAGTAAAAGCATGAGGAACATATTGAAATTCCTCCAGTTTGAGCTTCTCAGCCACTAGAACAATAGCTTGTCATTGGTGAACTGTTTCAAGCCACATAAGGATTGACTAATTATGGTTGAGTGTTCTCTTGTACCATTGCAGAATTAGTAGTGTGAGGATTATACATGTGGATCAGCGTGACAATGAATCTATAGGAGGAATTGTACATGGAAAAGAGTACACAAGGTAAAAGGTCTGGTATTGGCAACTATGTATGACTTGTAGACAAGATTGCCACTGGCTCCCAACAAGAGGTTTGTGCAGTGGTGGTCTTTTATGTGTGCTCGCGAGCATGTGACTTAGTGCCTCACAAGAACACATGTACTCCCAACAGCTCATAAGCCCAGGCCCTGGGCTCTCACAGGTGTTGTTCATCTGTGTAAGGGGTTCACGGGCGAATTCTTACAAGTAGTCACATTTGTTGTATAATTTGGTATGGGTTTTGAAGGCCCTTCTCTCTACAGCATATAGCACTGATTGGAATTCCCTTGTATCTGATTTGACTGTACTCTCATGGCCAATGCCAAATTTGTAAACTTATTAATCATCTTTTCAATTGCAGCTTTAATATTGGTACTCTCAGAGCTCTTGGCTTTGGATTTCAATTCAGATTCTTCAGTCTTTGCAGAACTAGCTGTTTTCTTTGAAGCTTTAACTGTAGGGGATTAGTTAGCTAATTAATATTGCTCATCAAGCTTCTTCATTTTCTTCTGCTTCATTTCATCTTCTTTAAAGACCTTCTTATTCCCTTCATACTAGTTAATTAAATCCATGGTTACTTGAACAATCTTTTTAAAATCAATAGATGATATATCATCTGAAAGATTAAGCTTTACTTTGTCAATAATCTTATTTCAGAGCTTCTTGAGCAGCTCCTGAAGAAATCAAGATATCTTAGTGAATTCATCAAGTCTTTCATTGGCTTGTACTATACTGATGATAGTAGTGTATTCTCAAATATAGGCACAAATATTGCTATTCCAAGTACATGGTTTCTTTGTAATCACTTAAAGATAATTTCAATAGTGAATCTTGTAAGTAATGTACTGATCATGAAATTTATGAATAATCTCTTTAGAGAATACTTCCCAATTATCTTTCTTGTAGTCTTTTAAGGTCTTCATTTGTTCTTCAATTCATGTAACACAGTATCTAGCCAATCATTCAATAATATTCTTAAAGTTAATTACCCCATGATTCTTGCAGATTTGATAAAACCTTTCAATAAATAAGGTAGCATCTCTGCTGTCAAACCAAGGTGCATTTGCCATGCCAGAGGAAGGCATAAGAATGTGGGAGTGAACCATAATTCTCCTGTCCTCACCCTGTAACATAGTTATATATGATTCTGTAGTATCTTTAATCATAGTTAATTCTGATTCTGATTTCTTAATTTCTTGATCTTTGATCATGTCACACAGTATATTCTGTTGTTTCTCAATGATTCAATATCTTTCCAAAAAACCTATTTATCAGGCAAGCTTTAGATAAGAGCCATTCAAATCTAAGCTCTTTAACTTTATTTCTAAACAACAACCTGATTAGTACTGTATTTCTAGTTCATAAGATCTTACCTTGAAATAGTGTATTGCTTCATGTGTCTCAGAATTTATTTTTCTTTCTTGACAGCCACCAAATCACTGTATTATCATCTTCAGATCTCAGCTTGGTCACCAAATGAAGTAGAGTATGATGGAATGCCTCATTAAGATAGGCAAGTTGGTTGATGTGGTGAGAGCACAAGAAAGATGAAAAATCACAATATAGTAAGAATAGTAATGGTTGAGTTGTAAGAACAGAAAAGCATGCCTTAACAGATGCCTAAGTTTATAAGAAATAATAGTAGTAAAGAGCTCATACTAATACAGGCAGCTCTAATAAGAAACAGTAGCAAGCTTCATGAACAAGAGATCTTCATATTCTCTAACTAATAACTGAACTAATAATAAAGAACAAGTAAGTAGTAAGGTGCAAAGGTGCATGCAGATGTTAAGTGAGATGCAGGAGCTATAGATGGTTTATATAGCTCAGAGATAGTAGCTGGAGGGGGTTTTGCACTTCAGACCAGAACAATCTTTGTTCTAATATGGTACCAGAATCCCTACTACAGTATAAAAGAGTATTCTCTCTTTTTTGAGTTTCTGATTTTCTCTTGTCTTTCTTCTTAGTGAGTGTTCTTATAATTTTCTTTCATCATGTTAAATGCTTCTAATGTTTGCAAGAATAATCTTCTTTCTGTTATTGAGTGATTCAGATTTGTGATGCTTTCTTCCTGCTCTCAGTGCTCTTCACTGGATAAGACTTGCTTAAAATTAAGTCATTCTTCTCAGTATAGCAAGTATATTTGTGCTGGTTGCTGTTGTGTTCATAATAATGATTCTTCTGTTACTAATTAACAGAAATTATTTGAGACTCAGAACAAGCTCAAGTATACTGAGCAAGAAACTCTCTCTCATCTTCTTTATCTTTAAAAACAGAAAAAGCTGCTTCATAATCAGACTGACAAATTTCTTGAATTCAAGTCAAAGTCTGTAAAGAACTTGAAATGTCTTGAGAAGAAGAAGTAAAAAAGAGTAGTTAAGCAGACAGAGATTTAAAGTCTGCTTGCTTTATTAAGTGATCTTTCTTTCTTAGATTCTCTTCTGATTATCTCTGATTCATTTATTAATGCTTTGCTGGATGAGAGTGTTGTTAATAATATATTGCAATAATTATCTGAGCATTTCTGAGGTTTTCTGTTGGTTCTCAGATATTTTCTGAGATATTATACTCTTTTTATGTCACTAGATAGTGAAGTTTTCTACTGATCTTCTGATAATCTAGTATTTGTTTAATTTTATATTTCTGTTCTTTGTCAATCTCTGTAAGCATTTTTTAGCATGTAACAGTGCTTTCTCCAATAATGAGACATGAAATACTGAATGTATTTTCATCTTTTTGGGTAGTTGAAGTTTGTAGTTGACTTTTCTGATCTATCTTATGACTTTGTATGGTTCCAGTTTTTTGAAATCAAGTTTTTTACTAGATCTTTTGGTTTTTTAGAAATACTTTTTTTCTCTTTTTTCAAGATTGCTATCTTCTGGCATCTTTTATTGTAGTAGTGCTTCATTCTCTTGTTCAGAAATTCAATATCTAGTCTTATCTGATTCTGCAGTTCTTGTAGTTGTGTTGTTATAAGTTCTGCTTTTTGAGCTTTTTATTATGTAATTCTTGATTGTTTCTGTATTTCTGATTCTCTGCTGTAATTTATGTAGAATGGTATCATTTCTGTGGTGACATTCTTTACTCTGTTGTAAGTTAATTGTGCCATAGGCAGTAGTATAACTTAATTGTTCTGTTAATAGTTAACATACATTGGCAAATCTCTACCAGGCCCGGGGCTAGCTCCAGACATCTGGGTGGCCAGGGTGTCTGTGCTTATGTCACTTCCCTGAGCTCACCCTGAATGGGTACAGGACTCACTCTGGTACATATTTTTCTCTGTTATGGTTCTGGGCAACTTCTAATATAATGAGTGTCTTTGCTGCATCTGCTGTTAATTTAGCATGTTCTGTAAATGCTATTATTTTCAACAACTCTATTGTGTCTACTAGATCTGTTATTTCCATTGATCTGCACAAGCTGCTTTCTTTCACATTGGTGTTAATAACAGTAATAAAGATGTTATTGATATTTTTGTTCACTTTACTGATGGTGTTGCTTATATGATTACTGTTACAATTAACATAAGCAACACTATCACCAAATGTATTAATATCTCATTTTACACTGCTGCTACTAACACCAGAGGTGACAATAAATATGCTGCTCTTAACTTTACTGTAGAAAATAAATCTAGTGATGCAGCTAGGTAATTCACTACTACTGACATGAAAAACACAATTATACAGAACCTCATATACACTCTTTAATACTATTAATCTCATCATACAGTCTGACTATTTCATGCTATACAGCTAGATTAGCAAGCTTTACCCCATTAATTATTATTTTCTGGCCTTTTCACACTCTGTATTCTCAAGAACATGAGAACTGCTCTTTTCATTATCTTCATTATCTTCATCATCTCTGTTATCTCTGTTGTCTTTATCAGCTCTATTGTTTCTGTTATCCCCATTATCTTCATCAACATCAGATATCTTGTTTGTAAGATTGTGAATATGCTTCAAGTTAATATTCTTGATGTCAACAAGCCTCTACATTTTTGATCCACATCTGTTAGTATAATTCAACAAACTGGAGTTAACTTCATATCAGACCAACTAAAGTACTATCATTTAGGGTCCTAATATTACTATACTGTGATGCACACTCATTACCATTGCCAGTATCTTTCACAAAGTCTAGCCCCACCAAATCATCTAAACTATTCTCATACTTATTGATAATATCAGCAGCAGCAGGCTTTCTCTTCTTTCAAGCATCCCATCTCATATGAGCTCTTGCTTTGTTGAGAATAATTTTATAAATATATGATTGTTGTTCTTCTGTCTGTTGATTTCAAACAGCTTGTAGACATTCAAAAATATCTATTAAAGTACAGTACTAGTTAGCTTTCAAATTAAACCATTCAGCATCTGTAAAGCAGCTTACCCTGCACAGCTTGGCTCTTGAATCTGATACATTCATGACTACCAGTCTCATACTTCTTGATAGCATGGCATAAACATGTTGATACCCAAATGATGCAACCAGCAGGCAGAGAATTAAAGAGATATATAGTGTATTTATTTACAGCAGAGCTGTACATACTCTTACTATACAGAAACTGACCAACAGTAACATATATTATTGGGTTCAGAAAGTGCCTCTTGTCATTCTGCCATTCCAGGCTTCTTAGTAGCAGATTTCATCAGATGGGTGTTTTAGGAAGATGTTGCATACCTTTTTCTCTGAATTGAAACATATAAAGCTATTTTTAAAAAGAAGATCTGCAGCAGTCTCTTTCTACTCTTCAGCTGTTGATTCAAAGAGTTTTCTCATTACAATATTATAAGTTCTTTTCATGAAGTACCCCTGTGCAAAACTTGCAATATCACAAAGCTAACATGTAATATTAAAAACTTATTATATCTTGTAAAGATAATAAGACTTACTCTTCTAGCTTCTATCTTGTTTGATTCATTAGATAGAGTACTTGATATATCACTAATATTATATCTGCTATTATATCATATCTGTACTGCTTTTGTTCAGATGCTCTCAATTATTTCACTAAGTTAATCTGTATTGGCAAGGTATTCAGATTATGGTGTCAGTTGATCATCTGGTACTCTGTTAAGATTCAAACCAGAAAACAGCTGTACTCTTCAGAGTTGCTCTGTAATGGAAAGCACTATTTTGTTGGCTGCATTTAGTAATCTGACCAGATAATACTGCTTGGCATTATATCATATTACATGCTTTGAAGCAGGCAGCTGGATACTGAAAGATATATCTACTGTATTTTCTGGAGTTGCAGTGCTTCTGGCTCTAGTATCAGAATTCCACTAAAGTTCTTTAGCCATCTGCAATGACTTCTACCATGTTGAATATTGTTAGCACTAGCAGATGTATTGTAATTACAACTTACTTTCTCAAATAATATATCAATACTACTATTCTTTGTCAAGTCTATTTCTTCTTACATCATGCTATTCTGTGGCATTGATAATACACTTCTGCCTATTAATTGCATTTGAATTAGTAATTATCTCTGTAGTACATTACTAAAATCTGACTAACTCTGTCTGCTGTTCAGAGAACTCACTAACTGTTTAATTAATGTATTGTATTTGACTGCCTATTGCTTGCATCAACTATTTATCTGATCTTAGAAAAGCTCTTGCAGTACTTACTGGTTTGATTCTCTTTCTTGTTATCTAAGAAGTAGCAGGTGCACTTCTGTACTGAGTAGTGCCTGACTGAATTTGTGATGGCAACTTCCACTTCTGTAACAAGAGCACCATTGTATGCAATTTCTTACATGGGAGTCAGTATTTAATCCCATTAATATAAAACAATTCAAGTTTGACACACCTTTCAATTCACTATGTAATATGTGTGAACAACAACAGGTCAAAGAGAATTAACTTGTGAAATATCTTGCATTGATTATTAATATAGAGAAGAATTCTCAGTACCAGAATGCTGAAATGAAAAAGAAGAATTATTGGAGAAATTGAAGCCTCTAAAATGCTAGTTCAGCATTTAGTAACTAGACTAGTGATCTTTTTAGTAATGATCACCAATCATAAGCTATTTCAAAGCCAGAACTCCTGTGTATCTGCTCTGTAACACAAACTCAAAAAGTCAGCAAAATAGTTATTCTATCAGAAGTGAACATATACATCTAATCATCACTTTCATTGAAAAGCAATTCTTCAATTTCATTCAAACCAGTTCAAAAAAGCCAAAAGCAGCACCATTTTAAGCAATATATCTGTTTGAGAGCTGTTCAGAATAAATGCTCTTTACAGATTTCTAGTAGCTTGTTGTTCAGTAGCTCAAAGTACCAAATTTGAGTATCTTTTCAGTCAAGACTGAGCTCATTTGAAAGCAGTATTCTTAATTATTGAAAGAAGACACATGAAATCAGAGCTGAGTTATCTGTCATACTTGTTCTTTTCTTTGACATGTTTTTACAGTTACTGACAAGATTCTTCACACTACATATTATAATGTCTCTCTGTTCTAAATGTTGGATAACTATATTTGTTGATTCAAGTAAAGTATTATTCATTTCACTACTGCTATTATTCTGTCCAGTAAGAACAACACATTGAAGCTTTGCAGCAGCATTCAGAAACTGTTATTTTTGAGTCTGTTTGCATACTCTGACAATTTCTTTAATGTTAATACCAGAAAAAACAGGGTTGAACTGAGAATAATTACTGTCTGATGAAGTAATTGAGTTTAGGTGTGCAAGCTCTTCTCTAAGTAGATGATACTTTTGGTTGTTGTAACATTTCTGAGCTATTGCTGTTAGATAATATTGTGTCTGGGGAGTTGGATAATCATGAAAGATAGAATTATATTGAGCAATTATTTACTGAATAACATCAAGTAGTTTCTTTTTGTTCTTCTGTGTGCTAAGCTTCTTTCTGGATATCTGTTGTAGGTGCATCTCTTGTTCAACAAAGTGATATAGTAATTGATATGTATTACAGTCAATTTTCAGTTCATGTTTAATCACTGATACTTTCCAATCTTTGACTTCCAGTAATCTGGTGCTAGCTGCATGGCTTTGCCTGGAGAATGTATTTCTGAGGACCATTGTCAGTATTACTTGAGAAAATCACTTAGTAAATAACAGATTCTCAAATTGAATTGCATGTAATAAATAATAAAAAAAACCATGCAACTCATCAAGTTCCAGAATGCAAAACATGAACTGGAGCCTGTAAAGTTACTGTAAGGAGTTGGGAGATGTTACAGATCACATAACTAACTAACTAACAAGTTAGTTAACCAAGTTACTCTGTAACTAGTTAGCCAGTTAGGTAACTAGTTACTTCATATTCCATACAGCTGCAGAAAATGCTTTAATCTTCATTAATATACAGAGTACTTTTATTTATTAAAAGCTACTGTCTTCTTTATAAGTATAGTGTTATTTTATGTTGAGTATGTGTATTCTTTTTATTTAACTCTATAGTTACAGAGCACAGACAATGGAGTTTCAAAGTCATGTTAGAATATATATCTAGCTATACAGCAAGAGTCTGACAGACATGCACATCAGTCATACAGCTAGATATTATGGCCATCCAACTGACTATATAATTATCATGAAGATGTTCTACCTCATCTCTGATATAAATAATTCATTGCAATATGGTTAAGTAGAGTAGTAAAAAGAATGTATCTAACAATTTACTGAAACTTTTTAGTTGCTGATGAGTATTCTTGAATATTTTAATTACTTAGTCAATTCTTTCTCAGATTCTTCATCAGATTTTGCTTTTCTATTCACCATCTCTTGTTGAAGTTTAGAGGAAAACTTATTTGCTAGTGCTGTACTGGTGTTCATAAAATTTAGATTATATAGACTTGTATAAGGTGGCTCACCACTCAATAAGCCAAACCACTTAACAAGCCAAATTTTCACACCATCAAATTTCTTCAACACTCAACTTCAATATGCAATAGTATGGTCAACAATGAAGCAATTAAGCTTGCAATTAAAGATCTTGAATTACAAGAGACTCCAAATTACAGTGCAACTACAAAAAAATATTCAGTCAGCTGAGAGACCCTGCACCAGTAGCATCAAGGCCTACAAGTCAATCACCATGAAGCAACCTTCAGACATAAGAAGAAGCTCACCAATATACAGGAGGATGAGCTCCTAGAGTATATAAACATGCTCTGCAACTGTGGCCTTGCTTCTATGCCTCAAATCCTTTAAAATGTCGTGCAAGAGATGACAGGAGAGGACATGGAAATCAACTGAATAATATAGTTTTGTGAGCATCACAAGAACAAGATCAAGTCTGTTTATCTCAAGCTGCTTGACAAGAATAGACAGGTAGCAGATAATTACCACTGCTTTCAGCACTTCTATAGTCTTGTACTTGAATGCTTTTTTTGCTTCTTTGCAAGTGCAGTTATTGAATTTAACTAACTTGTTGTGCTGCTGCATTTAGTTAAGTGAGAAAATCAGCCAGTATAATATTACACTGAAAAACACATACAACTTTAATGAAAAGGAATTTCTTCTAGGCTTCTGTCATGCCTTAAAGTATCTTGTCTCTATTAAAGCTCTACAAGCTGGTAAAAGTGTTGCAACTCAGAATGGAAGCCAGGAATTCCTCTCACTGCTCTGTTCAGTCTATGCAGATGGGATTGCATTGCCTCCAGCTCTTATTTATCAGGGTGAATCCAGAGATCTTCAGAATATATGACTGGATGATTTTGATGGAAGCAAATATGCCTACTTTGCAGCCTCAGTGAATGGCTGGAGCAATGATGAATATGGCCTGGAGTGGTTGCAATAGATTTTTAATCTGCATACAAAGGCAAAAGCAGATAGAGCAAGATGTCTGCTTCTACTAGATGGGCATTCTTCCTATATAAATATGAAATTTATTGAATATGCAAACTGTGAAAGGATCCTGCTGTTGATTCTTTCACCACACTCTACCCACCATTTGCAGCCTCTTGATGTTGGTGTTTTTGGGCTGCTGAGCAAGGTGTATTCCAGCAAGCTGGAATCTCTACTACACTGTAGACTGGGCTATATTCAAATGACAAAAAGGGATTTCTGGAGACTATTCAATGCAGCATGGAAGAAGGCTTTGACAGGTGACAATATACATGCTGGCTTTACAAAGACTGGGATTTATTCTCTGGATCCTCAGTGTCAACTAAGCTGATTTGAAACTGCTGATCAACAAGGCCCTGCATCACTAGTTGAGCCTTTTATCCCTACAAATATACAGGAGCTTTGTCAAGAGGTTAAGAGTATTTATCTTCAGCACAGCTTAAATTCACAGAGTATTGGATGGGTTATCAAAGCCAGCAAGCAATTTGCAATACAAAATGAACTGCTAGAGCATGAAAATCAGGCTCTAAAATCAACTATCATGACAGAGAAACAGTGCTGCAAGCAAGGCAAGCCCCTAGACCTACTCAATCATGATAAGCCA